ACCCAGACAATGGTTGCGACGACCTTGTCTTACCCTTTTTCGTCAGGTTTTTCCGATCGTTTCCTTTCCCGCTCTGAGGGATAAATAACGAAAGGTGGCGACTCTTCTGTTTTGCCGGCACCTTATTTTCGCGCAAGCGACAATATGTTGGATACAATATCTTAGACAATGTATACCACGAAGAATAGTTTCAACATAAATTATCACAGTCTAAGAAAATTAAAGCAAAAGGAAATAAAGAACAAAATAGAATTGTTAACCCAGTTCAGTGCAATGTCACATACATCTGGAGGACTTATAACCCAAGAAAGGAAATCAACTCTACTATTAGTACAATTAGTCTTAGATAAATAACCCGTGTTTAATGTATATTTCCTAATATTACTCGTGTATTTCTATTTAGGCCCCCCTCCTTAAATATGAGTCCCATATCATTTTATTTTAATCACTACCCTAGTGATATATGCTTTCAAAATATTAATGATGTTGAATTAAAACTCAACTAAACAATCATATATGCCTTGAATGTTCAGTTTAGCCTTCTTTAGATGTTTACAACAAACAACAAGAACACAGATACTCAAAAAACAAAACCCTAGCACACTAGATCTTCAATGCTTGCATGTCTTCAAAGGTAGGAATGAGTCTCTTTAAATAGAAAACCATCTTCTAGGCTTTTCTTCAATGGGCATTATATTTGATACATAATTAATTCAGATGCAGATATGATTTGCTTAAACACAAAGAGATTTAATTTGATTTGATCCTCATTCAATTTAAATCTTCATTTAATTTACTTTGATATTATTACATCTTTTTAGCAAATTTTACTAAATAACATAATGCATAAAGATACACCAACAAATCTTCTTTGAATCAAACATAATTTTTCTCAGAAAAACTCACAAACCTTGGCATATAGGCTGAGTACTGCACACATGCTAGAACATCTTCTCCCAAGTGTTGCATCTTCACCAAAAATATATCTCGTATAATCCATGTTGTTTTATCTAATGCAGACAATCAAAAGGAACCATTATAGTAATATATGAATATACAATTGATTACCCTAGAATGAGTCTTCAACCTTTTCCTGGTTTCCTTTCCTCCAAAAGACACCAGTTGCTCAACGTACCCTCATGGTATCTTCGTTGATTTATTGAATCCTTGGAGATTGCTCATTCCTTAAGGAATAAGGCTCTCTCGAGTCAAGTCTAGATTTTTCAAGAGATTAGTGTATATTATGTCACACGAGTTTCCTTGATCTACCAAAACATTCCTCGTGTCATAATTTTCCATGAAGACTCGTACTAATAACGAAATGTGAGATTTTGGTATCCTTTTGACTAGTTATTTATTGGAGAAAGATATGGGTGGAAGGCCTTTTCTAGACAATCCTTTCTTGAGGTGCTTCATTGCCTCGTTCCTATAGTGAATCTACATTTTCTTCCATTGGTTCTTGAAGTTTATCGTCAAGTGGAGGGGAAGAAAGCTTCTCTAATGTCAGAGGAGGTTAGATCTGACTTCTTGGATCAAATGAGGAAGCGGTGAGTCCATCTTCCCAGTGAGAGTTTCTTCTCACAATTTGGCTTGCTACAAATTATAGGCAGATGGAGCAACGAGTTTCTCTTTTCCCGTTTATCATTTCTAACGTTTGAGTAAGTGGTTGATCGTTATCTTTCATTTCCACTTATGGCATTAATGTTCCATTTAGATAGAAAGCATTTTCTTAAAGATGAATATGGCTAGGTCCAAGCAGTCTCGGGTTTGAAAATCTTTCATATTTTGTTGTTTTAAGTGAATTGGGATTGGTGCTTGCAAATACTCTTGACACCCAAGTCGGTGACTATTAAATATGAAAGATATAAAATTTATGAAATTTATGTGTGCCTTTGATTTGACGTTTGTGGTCTCTTAAATAGATAGGGATCTCTTAAATAGATTGGGATTTTACTAGATTTTTAAGTACCTATAATTTTTTTTCTAATCATCACCGTTCAGACAAAGAGATGTCGGAATATAATTTATTTTGTCATTGACGGTCTTAATTCAATTATTTGATTGAATCATGTGTTTTTTTTAGAACGGATCCATACTTGTTCTCAAAATCCTACAACATTCCTTTAGATAATAGCTCCGATAGTGATATTTCTTCATATGACGTTATTGGTCTAATGTCATTATAAAAGAGAGTTTCTTATTGCAGTCTATATGTTTCTAGGTCACTTCGCGAATTTCCAAAATTATCCCCCGTTTCTAGAGATGCATCTCCGGACGCATTCTAATGCACACATTTTATTCGTTTTTGAGTCACACCTCAATTTTATGAACAATTTTATTTCAAAACAGAAGATGATCTGACTTGGAGATATATTTCCGGAATAAATTATTCATAAAATTGAGATGCGACTCAAAAACGAATGAAATGTATATATTAGAGTGCGTCCAGAAATATATCTCTAAAAACTGAAGGTATTTTTAAAAATCCACAAGGTGAACTAGAAACATATAGGTGCAATAAGAAACTCTCTTATAAAATATCATCAAAAACAACTTTAATTTTATTGGATTTTATATTTGTGTCTCATATATGTTTGGAGAAAGTTTTACCCCATACCCCTACACTTATACCTATACCCTTACATTAAAAAATTTTGGACCAAAATATCCTCGTATAAAAATTTATTATTTTTTAATTTTTTTATATTTTTTTATTTGTTTACCGGAAGACTTTTTGAAAGTCTTTCGATTCACATTTTTTTAGTATGTTTACCGGAAGACTTTTTGAAAGTCTTCCTGTACATATTTTTTTCGTTTGTTTACCGGAAGACTTTTTGGAAGTTTTCCGGTTCATGTTTTTTTTTTTAATTTGTAATTAATATTTAAGATTTATTAATTTTATATAAAGACCAATTTAGTAAATTTTTGAATATTATACTTAAAATATAAAAATTCTATAAATAGAGAATCATTTTCAGAATATTTTCTATTTACTATAATTATTAGAATACTAGGATTAAAATCATTTATTTTAAATGATCATAATAGTAGAATTTTCTCAAATATCTTATTAATCTTAAACATTAATAAATAAAATAAATTTAAATATAAGATATAAGTTTACATTATTCAATATATTTAATCAAATGAAAACATATGTGATAAATAAATAATGTATTTTAACTTAAAATGATCACACTAAGTTAACTTGCAAAATAATATAAGTAATAAATTAATAATGTATTTTATTTAAAATAATCACAATAATAAAATACGCAAATAATGTGTTTTATTTATAGGACTGATATAGTTTTATTGATTATTTAATTTTGAATACTACTATGAATATAGTATTTAATCTATACTTTAGAACTCACATAATTATAAATATAAAAAATATTGTTTTATTACCCATATTTTTATTTAATTAAAAAAAATAAGAATATAAATTTATTATTTGTTTTTCATTTTTGTTTGATCTTTTTAATTATTTCACTTTATTTAATATTTTTAATAAAATAAATAATATATTTTATTTAAAGTAAGCACAGTATAGAATATGCAAAAAATTTATAAATAAAAAAAAGATCAAACGAAAATGAAAAACAAATAATAAATTTATATTCTTATTTTTTTTAATTAAATAAAAATATGGGTAATAAAACAATATTTTTTATATTTATAATTATGTGAGTTCTAAAGTATAGATTAAATACTATATTCATAGTAGTATTTAAAATTAAATAATCAATAAAACTATATCAGTCCTATAAATAAAACACATTATTTGCGTATTCTATTATTGTGATTATTTTAAATAAAATACATTATTAATTTATTACTTATATTATTTTGCAAGTTAACTTATTGTGATTATTTTAAGTTAAAATACATTGTTTATTTATCACATATGTTTTTATTTGATTAAATATATTGAATAATGTAAATTTATATCCTATATTTAAATTTATTTTATTTATTAATGTTTAAGATTAATAAGATATTTGAGAAAATTTTACTATTATGATCATTTAAAATAAATGATTTTAATCTCATTGTATTCTAATAATTATAGCAAATAGAAAATATTCTGAAAATAATTCTCTATTTATAGAATTTTTATATTTTAAGTATAATATTCAAAAATTCACTAAATTGGTCTTGATATAAAGTTAATAAATCTTAAATATTAATTACAAATTAAAAAAAATATGAACCGCAAGACTTCCAAAAAGTCTTCCGGTAAACAAACTAAAAAATATGAACCGGAAGACTTCCAAAAATAAAATGTGAACCGAAAGACTTTCAAAAAGTCTTCCGGTAAACAAATAAAAAAATATAAAAAAATTAAAAAATAATAAATTTTTATACGAGGATATTTTGGTCCAAAAATTTTTAATGTAGGGGTATAAGTACAAGTGTAGGGGCATGAGGTAAAACTTCCATGTTTGGACTCGGTAGAAACATCTTTAGCCCAAGATTTAGTAAGAAATGACAAAGAGTAGAGAGCAAAGAATGGAGGAGACGAACACATCTGAAAACGTATTGCAGAAAATGATTGTTGAGCAATTGGTTGAGGTTCATCAACCTTTCCAATTGCAGCAGAAAATACGTAAGTGCTCAATGGTAAAAATAAAGTTTGCCTTGATCGGTTGATTCACCAATGAAAAGAAGTTTCCTGTAATGCCCTCGATTGGTATGAAGTTAAAGAGGGTGGTTTAAACTTTTAATCAACATATATTTTTCTTAAATTGATTAGATTCTATAATAACTTCTGAATGATGGTCATTTGTATTTTCCTTTTGTTTTTAGTACAACAATCCTGTATATGAACAATACAAGTGAAGAATTGTAATCCAAAAAGTTGGACACGATACAATATTGCAGCTTGTAAATCGGTCTAAAGCCCTTTGAAACCATTAACCACAAATTTGGTAATTTTAGAAGTTTCACCGTCGTCCTTTGAAACCGTTACCACGAATTTGGTAATCTCAGAAGTTTCACCATCTGCGACGCCTTTTTCCATAAAAATATGCAAATGCAGCTATCGATGCAGCAAGAACGACCCCAGCTGTAGCATGCCAAGCATATAATGGTTTTTCCAAAAGAAGACCAGAAGTGCTACCGCTAACCTCAATTGGTGGTGGTAATGCTACTGGTTTCTGGCTAACTGCCACTGCAAACCCCAAACCTAGCCGCTCCAACTCAGTCAAGTCTTCAACTGCTGGCCTTAACGTTGTAGTCTTGGCTATGGCTTCATATTCTTCTCTACTTCCTCCTTCAAGGAAAGCCCCAACAACATGACCCTTGTTTACCCAATATGCTCCAAATGTGCTACCCGAGGCTGAGAGATCTCCATAATATACAACTTCCCCGGCATTATCCCCGTAAAACTGCCATGACAAAGTGAAGACTCTGGAGTAGAAAAAGGGAATGTAGTCAAATTCGCCTGTTTTTTCGGGATCCATTATGGAAGAAACGGCATGTTTTGCAGATTTTCTAGCTGAATCAACATGCTCAAGTCTTCGCTTTTCCCCAAATGCTTTGACTGGAAATGCTGCAACATCTCCGATAGCATAGACTGAACTGTTGCTTGACTGGAACATTCCATTTACCTTGATTCCACCTTTCTCCAGAGTAAGTTGGCCTTCAAACAGACCTGTATTTGGTCGTATTCCAATTCCCACTACAACCATGTCTACGGATAGCTTTGTTCCATCTCTAAGAGTAACATCTGTAACCTGCAAAAGAGGTCAGTCAACTACAGTTATAGGTTGAATTGATCAAGCCCTGATGCAACCATAGCCAAATTTTCAGATATCTGTAAAATTGGTTGTCATAAGCTCAGTGAACCAGAAAATTTTCACTTCCAAGGGAAGAAATTTCCAAAAATAGTTTGATGTACCTTTCCATTGGAATCAAAATCAAATGATGATAGCACAGTTCCTTTAATGAATTTTACTCCTCTTGATTTATAATATTCTTCATAGTAGCTTGCAATCTTGGGGGTTAATAAACGAGCCACTGTAAGATAAATCCAATATAGAAAGTACCCATCAGTTTTTCAAGTTATTATTATCTATAAAAGCTACAAGCGGCACTTTTATTCAGATAAACGCACAAATAAACATTGATCCCATATACTCGTTGAGTTGAGACACAATAAATTAAAAAATGAAGTACTTACTGCAATGTGCTTCTGGGAAGACCATTGTTACATTGATTTTATTAATCACTAAAGATGCTGCACACTCCATGCCAATGTATCCACCACCAATGACAACAGCATTCCCACCAGGAGAAGATTGAATAGCATTCACAAGCCTATTTGCATCTGCTATATCTCTTAAATAACATACATTTTCTGCATCTGATCCATTAACCCCAAATTCCTCCAGTTTCAAAGCCTACACTTGACATTGCACACAAGTTTGATTAATTTCTGTAAAGAAAGCTAAGAGGCCACTATCTAGGTGCATGGTGAATTTGTCTTCAAAGTTCAAATATCCCCACATATTATGTTCATGAGGACAGAAAAAATTGAGTTTCCATACAGTTTTCCCAGGGCTTAAAAGTTTTCACGTATTTTAAGGGAAATGATATTGAATTTCGAGAGATAAAAACCTATAAAAAAATAAAGCTACAAGAAATATCAAGGAAACTGCCAAAGCTTCTTTCATTTGTTTTTCTAAAAAGCACGACATGCATGTAATATAACAAGATAAAATGATTCTTTTAAGCAGGAAAATTCAAACTGAAAGATTTGCTTCAATACCCGGGCACCAGTAGCAATAATAAGAAATTTGTAACTTATGGTCTCCCCAGTTGTTGTTAACAGTGTTTTACGTTTCACATCAGCAGACTTAACTCCAGTTCCAAGAACTAGTTCAACTCCTGAAAAGGAAATAGCAATTTCAAGAATTAGAGATTCAGCATACGAACCTCCTTTGAGTTACAATATAAAAACATTAAACAAAGTTGAATGATAGCTGTTTTTAATAGAATCGAGTATCATTATCTGATACACACCTGATATTTTATAAGAAAGAATAGGAAAAATCTCCCTAGAACACGGCACAATCCATGCCATAAGGCCCCAAAGTCTTATTAAATTTCTTGGAGCTTAACTCAGCAGTTCAACTTAAAACTCAGTAAAAAGATATTCTAAATATTTAGAAATATTACTTTAGGGGAACCACTGAATCTAAATAGCATAAACTACTGAACAAGATCAAAGACAGACAAAATAAATAAAATAACCAACAAATGCATTTACATATCAAAGGGGAAAAACAGAAGTAGCCTAGCTAAATTACTTCGTGGAGAATTCAACTCATGATGTAAAATAGTCTAATTACCATGTTCTTTATACCATTTTGGAGTTAGTCTTTCCTCATTTGCTCCTACACATGTATGAAAGGATGGAAGCCGGGCAGCAGCTGTAAGTTACAAATTTATTTCAGCAACCGGATATTCCAAAATCTTTGCAACCAAGAAAAAGAGAAAATACGGCAAAAAGTGTCATTTTTATCAACCTAACACTCAAAATACTCAAGTTGAGAAAGGGTTGATACCTTCTGGAAGCAAATATCCTTTGCTTAATGCAGGTCTTTCATAAGGAGCAACCTGAGACAAATATTAGAAATCAAACACTGTCATGGCTCAAATCAAATTCGCAAGAAAGATAGAAAAAAAGCATATTGATATTCATAGAATAACATTTTAAGAAACATAACTGAATCAATTGAAAAAGATAGGAGCTGTTTAGATTGGCTTATTTGAGTTTATCAACTCGCAAATACACTCGTGAGTCCGTTTGAAAAAACTTACAAAAACAGCTTATGCTAAATAAACTCTCTAAGATAGCTTATGAAAACAGCTTATAGCTAATAACAAAACAATCCAACTTTATTGCGACACCGATGCTATATCTATAGACAGAGCTTATCAATCATTAACTACTTAACTACTGCTACTAATAACCATTAACCACTAACTAACTCACTAATGAATCAATATTATTTGTCAACGAAGATTTATGAATCTTCATATTTACTATTATTATTATTATCATCATTATTATAAAACAAAGAATGAAATCAAAATAAAACATTGGATATCCTAAACAAAACAAATCTTAAATAAATAAATAAATAAAACAGAAATAGGAAAAGGAAAGAGAGAAAAAATTACTGATTCATCAGAAATGATACAGAGTTCACCATGAGAAACGCCTCGTCTAACGAATTCAAGAGCAGCGTAACCAGCAGAGACACCACCACCGAGAATCACGTACACGAACGCTCTTCCCATTGCTCGAAAACTCTTTCTTCCTTCGCATACACACACACACAAAAACAAAAACACCTTATCTTGGTTATCTATCGTGAATTCAAAATCAAGGGTGGTAAATTATTTGGAAGCGTTTTCGTATAAGGAACTTCCAAAAATTTGAAGATCGCGAAATGGGCCCATTAGGATGATGGTAATGACGAAGACGGCGGCAATAATTATTGCATTTACTGTAATACCCTCCAAGGGAGATTATCTGGTATTGGGTTTTCCATTGGCTGCAAATTACGAGGCTGTTTGATCTTGTAATAAAAATTAGTCAATTAAACTAATTAGTTTGGGATAAATTCATAATTTATAAAATTATTTTTTATTATTGACATGAAGAAAAGAAAGTTAAAAAATTAAAAAAATAATTAGAAAATAAATATTATAAGAAATATTAATATTTTAATAAATTTGCAAAGTAAGAAATAGTTGAGACAAAAATGTATTTTTAAATTTAATATCTAATTATTAAAATCTTTCCTCACTAAATATCAATTATACTCTTTTGACTCTAAGTTTAAACTTTTCTAATTTTAAGGTTATAAGTGTCTAATTCTATATTATGCAATATTATGCATTTGATATTTATTGTGTCTGATGTGTTACTCTCTCAATTATTTGTATTTTTTTGTTAATTTATAATATTTTTTTATTATTGAGCAGCCATTGAAAATGTAAAATATACATGGAAAACATCAACACAACTGACAGAAACAACTTAATAACATTTGTCTCATCTCTAACTTGCAGAAACGAAATCGACCTTAAACATCAATGTTCAATGGTATTCACTCATAATCATCAATCCAACATCGAATAACAACATCAAACTCTCAAACCTGAAACACCACAATCTTCAAGTCACGACAAACACAACAATTGCAAAGATCAAAATAAAAAGAGAAAGAAAGTTGAATCAAAAGAATCAAAAAAATTAGAAACAGGCGCAATAGAATTTAACAACGACAACATAAGAAGAACACGCCACATACTCACCCAAAACCTTAAGGTAATAGGTGTATGGGTTCTCTCACTTATAAATGCTCAAGTCACCACATTTCTATCCAATGTGGGACTATTATCCACACTACTCACACTTGTTAATATTTAACAGTTAGGTACGCCGTCTTTGGCCGTCTTTGGTTTAGATTTGAACAATTTCGATTACTTTATCAATAACGATTTTCAAGGTTTTGTTGATTTATGGCCTAAGTCTGCCCTTCTCGCTTGCAAAATCATTGTTTATGGTGTTTTTGAAACTGCACTTCAGCTTTTTCTTAATGTTAAAGTTGTCTACAACCCAATTTCTCTCACCAACAATCAACTTGTTTATAAGTTTTGTTTCTCTTTTTGTTTTTGTTAATTTTTTCTTAAATTATGATCATAATTTTTTTTTGTTGCAATTTTCCATGAAAATGGTGTTGCCTCATACTTAGTCACTTTAGTTTATTTACTGTTAAAATTTTGGCTAGTGCAGTGAAAAATATGGGTTCCCTTAGATCATTTAAATGGTATACCCTTTATCAAATGATGGAAGATGGAACTTCTTATTCTTAGGTTATATGGGTTCCTTTACCAAATGATGGAAGATGAAAATATTAGCTTCATGCGGTCCTTAAAAATGAAAGTCATTGAATTTTTTTTAAAGTCTTCGATTTTAAAATTGCAATTAATCGAAAAATATATCTAAAATAAATATAAAAAAAAGAAAAGATTTAACGTTTAATCAACTTTCATAACTATTGTATTTAATATTTGAATGTTTCCAATTTTTATGTTTACTAATTAAAACCTTACCATTTAATAATATATTAATACATTTAATTAGAAAGAGTATTACCCCGTTTACACTATCATTATTATTAATTTGACAAAAAAATGTGAAATCTTTAGATGGATGATTTTTAATTATAAGAAGTATGATGTTTCAAATTTGTTAATATAAGGTAGAATATGAATCGATAAATAAAAATTAATATAAATAAAATTTCAATGTTTTTTTAGTATGCATGTGATTAATTTTTATCATACAATTATATTGTATATTAATTTTCTTTTAAAATAAATATATATGTGATAATTTAATATCATGATATAATTTTTAATTGCATTTTAATAAACACGTTATTAACTTATAATATAAGTTTTTAATAATATAATTGTTTATAATAATATAATTATAATTTATATATTGTATCTCTTTTTTAAAAACTTTGTATTAATATATATTCTACATGTTGATGAATCATTTTTATAAACGGAATAACTCACACTAACTTTTATAAATGGAACTAAGTTACAAATATTTTTATAAACGAAAATAAGTTATAAATATTTTTATAAACAATAATAAATTATAAATATTTTTACAAATAAGATTGAATTATAAATATTCTTATAAACAAAAATAACTTAGATTAATTTTTATAAACGAAAATAAGTTATAAATATTTTTATAAACAAAAAATAGTTAATTGTAATAATTACCATTAAGTTTGTCTTTTTTTCTATAAAATATATATTTTAATTAGTTAAAATATTTATCTTACTTTAATCAAATTAACTAGACATTAAAATAATAAAGTCTATATTAATCACTATTAAATAACTTTATTTATAAACATAATTTAATATGAGACACGTATTTATCACTATTGAATAAATAAATTTGATATAATATGATAAATATTTATTTTTTTTCATTCTAAAAACAAGAATAAAATATATTTTGTAATTATTTAGATTCTTACTTGAAATAAAAAATATTTTGAAATTATTTATATTTTTAGAAAAAAAGGTTAATAAAACAAAACAAAATCAATTGAGATTTATAAATTAAAAATTATCATACAGGTTCAAGGCGCTTTATAAATTATCGTACGGGTTCAAGGTGCTTATAAACGAGAAAAAAATATATATTAATATAAACATTTTTATATACAAAAATAAGTTACAATAATTTTTTAAATGGAAATAAATTACAAATATTTTTATAAACGAAAAAATTCAACTAATTATACAATTATTATTATAAATCAGAACAAATTACAAATAGTTTTTATAAATAGACACACGAGTTCAAGACGCTTACCATGTTTGTAACTATATAAATGTTAATCAACTGAATAAATGTATACAAACTTGACAAATGAGAGTTAGAGACGTATAATGTGAATTGAGACAATGTGAATCGAGACGTATAATGATAAATGGTAATAATAAAAAATTAATGATAAAAGATAAATAATGTATTGATGCAATCATTTTTATAAACTGAATAAGTTACAATTATTTTTATAAACGGGAATAAGTTACAAATAATTTTATAAACATAATAAATTTAACTATTTATACAATTATTTGTATAAATGAGAATAATTTACAAATATTTTTATAAAGGAGAAAAATTGAAGTATTAAAATAATTGTTTTAAATATTAATAAATTAAAATTTGTTTTATAAATTGTCACACAGGTTCAAGGCGCTTATAAACAGGAAAAAGTCTATGTAACACCTCACTCTAAACTATCGCGGAAAAATAAGATAAACAACATAAACAATTCAGAGTGCAGCAAATAAAGTCTCATGACGACCGTCATGGATGTCACGACCGTCACGGTCATGACAAGCGTCAAGGAGCTGTGACGACCGTCACACTCCCAAAATTTGAGACGCATCAGAGGTGTCACATTTCAACTCTTAACCAAAACACATACACCTGCAAAAGATCATTTACTAACATACGTAGCACGAAATTCGGATGAACAAACAACGATAATTTGTTTAACATTTTAATCATAAAACGACATGTTATAATACACTTCCAACGATTCGTAATAATTAAATTCCATTAAAATTCAGCAAGTAATTATCTTGCATCAATTCACTAAAACAACTATGCATCCAAGCAACATTTGGCATTATCAGAAACAACCAATCTATTTGCCATAGTACTGTTGCACCCTAAAATTTGCCCAACCTTATTCACTTGGGTTTATGTTTCACTATCATTAACATTTGCATATAGAGTCATGTACATAGACTAATCATCTGCATAGCATAGGCATAGCAAGTCATTCAACAGGGGACCAATCATTATTCTCATCTCCAGAAGCCTATCAAGAGGTTATTATCCCAATTCAATCTCATTCAAGTCATCAGGAAAGAATTTGAAAGTAAAGAGTTCAGCAGATCAAGCCTTGAGTCCATCTCCTAGCTGAGGGTATCTGAGGGTCAACAAGAGGGTTGTGAGCTGTGGATTGAAGGCATGGAGAGTATCTAGACATTATGAGAGACTTAGAAAGTCATTTGGAGAAGGAGACAAGTCATTGATGAGAGCACAAGAATTGCAGTTGAAGACAGTCAACTAGGGTTTCATCTGGGTCAACCCTAGGTCAACCCTAGGTCAATTGACTGATTTAAAGGGCATTCAAGTCTATTGGAGAGATGTGGGGTTCATCATTGAACATATAAAGAAGGATATGGAGATATGCCAAGGAGAATTCAAGAGAAATCAAGGAGAAGAGGAGTTTCTAAATTAGGGTTTCTGTGTAAAATCCCCTAGTTTAGGTCAAATTTCCAAGCAAGATAAGTCAAAATGCAAGCTTCAAATGGCTTCTTGTCCAACATGAAACTTGTAGAGGATCTCAAGACCTTTAATTTGAGTGGTGGAAGACATCAAGGAGATTTATAGAACTCAAGTTATGGTCCTTGCAAGTTACAGGTCATCTGAGGTATCTGAATTTTTGTCTGTGAAAGTGACTTGACTTCCAAGCAATTTTTACCCCTCAAGGAGATTTCAAATGAATTCTTGGTCAACATAAGAATTGTTCCTCATTGTCTTATATTTCTAGAATGGTATGGCATGCCTTCATATGATGTGTGGAACTCAACTTATGGCCTTGACAAGCAAAGGGTATTTTGGGCATTTGTGAATTACAGGTCATTTTAACCTATGTCCAAAACTCATACAA